TGGGTCAAATTCGACGCTTTTAAATGGAAACACCCTTTTCTATAGGAGATAGACAAAAACTAATATCGGTGTCTGGAGCTCAATTTTTATCAAAAACATGATGGTGAAAACCGCATATCGATATCTGTTACCGTTTCGCAGTTACGGGGTGTTTTTTAAAAATATGCATTTTTAACAAATCGCTGTAACTTTTTTGCTATGGAAAATTTTGTATTTTTATGAAAACATTTCCAAAGCACCTTTTTACGTAGAATTTAATGGTTTAAGTATAATTTTTTTAAAATTAATTATTTAAGAATTATCAACAGAAAATTTGATTTTTTATATGGGAGACCCTGTATATTTTAAATTTATTGAAAATAATTTAAAATTACCTTTCCAAAAATATAACACACTTGGTATTTTGCTCGATTCCTCTTCGAGATATAGAGTATATAAAAATTCGCCCGCTTTAAATAAGTAGGCTTTGAACGGCACTGGCTGTAATGCAAAAAAATTCTAGCTGTGAGCATCAATTAAATCGAAAATAATATTTGCTATGAGAGATGCAGAATTTTATAACAATTTAAACTATATTTAACCAACATCAACACATTTAAACTATATCTAATAACAATAAAAATAAATAGCAAACCAAGACATGAGATTTTGCTACAGGTGTTCGACTTATCGACCGTCTTCTGTTATGGACAGACGGGGCAGTTTTTGAAAATTTCTCCAGGAATTCATTAACTCAGTAGGGGTGAAAGATACCTTCTTATAACTGCTAAGTATTTTTAATTCTTGTCTAGATTATACGGAAGAATAAGGAACCTTTATTCTTCCGCAAATATATCCATAGGATTAGATCCATGGGCACTAAGTCAAGCGGCCTCGACGGCCAACGGCTGGGATCTTGGTTAGCTATCCAATTATTCTTGAAATTGGCTGCAAAAATTTGCTGATAACTTCAGCGTTCAGAGGCGGTGCGTCGTTTTGCTGGAAAAATATGTTTTCGAATTCCATTAAGGGCATATCATCAATAAGGGGTCCAAAGCCTACTAGTTAAAAGTGGAGAACTTATAAAAATTCTGTATTTCGAAGGGGATTATAACAAAATATCAAGTGTGCTATATTTCTGGAAAGGTAATTTTAAATTCTTTTCAGTTAGTTAAAAATATAGAGGGTGTCCCAAATAAAAATTTCATTTTTTCTGTTGATAACTCTTAAATTATTAATTTTAAAAAAATTATACTTAAACCATTAAATTCTACGTAAAAGGTGCTTTGGAAATGTTTTCATAGAAATACAAGATTTTCCACAGCAAAAAAGTTACAGTGATTTGTTAAAAATGCACATTTTTGAAAAACACCCCGTAACTCCGAAACGGTAACAGATATTGATATGCGGTTTTCACCATCATGTTTTTGATGAAAATTGAGCTCCAGACACCGACATTAGTTTTCGTCTATCTCCTATAGAAAAGGGTGTTTCCATTTAAAAGCGTCGAATTTGACCCACCCTGTACACATAAAATAATTAACTAGAATTTTACAATCTTGGAAAATTTGATATTCTTGAACCTTGTTTCTAAATATTCTAAATTTTTTGATATTCTTGGGATCTAGGTTCGGGAAAAACGCTGATTAAGTTTTCATTGTTTTTATTTGGTTAAAAAAAAACGTTTTGGCTAACATTATAGCCTTCATCAGTGTTGTGTCATATGAAAAAAATAGTGTCGAATATAATCCAAAAAATTACATATAAAATATTTACACCACGCACCACATAATGTTTACTGCGTACTCCATAGTCAATGTAGATAGTTTTAGTGTTAAGAATAATAATTTTAAAAAATATGTGGTCATCTTTTGATAAGTTTATATTAGTTTATTAATTGCAGTAAACATTATGTGGTGTGTATATTTTATATGTAATTTTTTGGATTATATATTCGACACTATTTTTTTCATATGACACAACACTGATGAAGGCTATAGTTAGCCGAAACGTTTTTTTTTAAACCAAATAAAAATAATTAAAACCCAAATGAAAATTTAAATCAGCGTTTTTCCCGAACCTAAAAATCACAAGAAAATCAAAAATTTTAGAATAATTTCATAGCCATCGCTGACGCCTTTTTTTAGATGATATTGTATTATTTGTAAATATAATTTTTCGAACATTGATACTTGCAAAATATACATATAAATTTTGTGAATGCAAATAATAATACATCACTATTTGTAGGGATATTGAATGTTTTTTGTTAAATTAGATCGATTTTTAAACCCCAAAATTTAAAATATATTTACATTTTACCCAATATCTTATGTAATACATTATTTGTATATTGTAAAACATTTGCTGCATTTGTATGGTTCATAGTTTATTTGCCAAAGTATTTATTAATATAAATAGGTATATATGTTGTCGTTATTAACTGTATATTATGTATATTTCATGTAAACTATATCATTTTTAAAATACAAACCAAAAATCTGAGAAATAATTATGTTTTCCATGTATTCTACAACATATTTATTAATCCGTAGTATCTAACTAGCGTGACGTCATAAATCTCGCCCCAAGGCTGTTCTATTAGAGACGGCATTGAGTAAAGCACTTTTACGCCTAAGAACAAAAATACGAAAATACAGGGTGTCCCAGAAATAAGTGCAAGTATTTTAAGGGGTGGTAGATTTCGATAAAAGAAACATATTTTCTCTTTATCGTTTTTCAAATAAGTCCAAATTAACGGAGTTAGTTTACTTTGAAAATTTCCAAAAAAAAAGATTTTTTGCTAAAATTTTGAGAACCACTGTATCTTATCTGGATTTTCTGTCTTGTAAATTTAATCTAATACCAATGTTGCCATATTATCAAGAAATTAGTTTTTTTTAACTAAAAACTAAAAAAAATTCAATAAAAAATTTCCAAAAATCTCGAATTTTCAAAAAAAAATTTTCGCGAAAAAAACTCATAGGCGCTTCTGGGGTTGAACTATACTACCAGTTAAAATACTTGCACCTATTTCTGGGACACCCTGTATATTATTAAACTGACAAAGTGTCAAATTCAACGAGCGTATAAACTATAGGTAGTTATCTCTGACCATAGCTTCTCGATATATGTATAATTACAAGCAAGGTATGACTTTTAAATCTTTTTGTATTATTTGGAACGTTTGAAATTGTTTAAAAAATTATTTGTGGCGTTGGAAAAAAAATTGCATGTTCTATTCGGAGTAAAAATAACTTTTTGTGCCTCGGCTGTATGTCGTATCGTCACACGTACAGCCTCGCCACAAAAAGTGTAATTTTTACTCCTGATAAAACAATATACTATTTTTTTCTTCCATTTGAATATAGTTTATCTGTAAAACGGCCCATCTCTCCGTGGACAGTCTTTAAAAAGAAATCCAGGTCATTCAAAATTATTTCGTCCTCAGGAAATAACTGGTCGCTATGTCCGATAAGCAACACGAATCCGTGGTTAACACTTGACCCTCTTCTAAAGCTGAGTCCTAGTAATCCATGTACAAAAAAAAATAGATTAATTAAAAGATAATATATGTTATAAAGATGACACGAAGCAATTCCTATATGTTGCAGCTTTGATGGAAGGCTGTAATTGTGTCTCGACTATGTTTTATTAGTATGTAAAGTTCGTAATGCCTCGCCTCGTAGTCATAAATTTGAACATTTAGGTACCTCTGCTAAATAAACATCAGATTTCCCTAATAGAGTAAGTCCCAGAGCGATCAGACATAAGGATGAAACCTTAGGCTCTCATATGTGCTTTGAATACCGGCATGTTTGTGGGGTTCACTCTGTAACACCTTGGAAGATACCAGGTGAAAAAGGTAACTAAAAGAAATAAATGAACTTTACTTATTTTTACATGTCTGATTTTTACATGTTATTAAGACAGCTGTTATAAAGTTATATTTAACCAGTCAGACAGATTGTAATGACCAAACATCCTCTAGACACAAAAATTATTCAGCCGTGACTATGAGCGCGGGAGAATTATGCGTTTCCTAGTAAAGTATATAAATATTTAAAAAATACTTACTGCTTTTGATTTAATATTTTTGCATTTCTGTTTAAATAAGATTAGGTGTAAAAGTGAAAACAATACATACTTATGGAGCCGATCGGCCGACTATTTGATTGCATGTGAGTACGGCTTCGTAAGAATTATATTGGTTACAAATCTGCAACTAAATAGACGGCCGACTGAGAATTGCATGGCCCCCACGGCTTATTTTCCAATATTTCCTTTTACTTATTATTACTTTAATAAAAAAATGCTAAAAAATAGGGATATTAAATCGAAAGCAGTAAGTATTTTTAAAATATTTAGATACTTTAGTGGGAAGCGCATAGTTCTCCCGCGCTCATAGTCACGGCTAAATAATTTTTGTGTTTAGAGGATGTTGGGTCATTACAATCTATCTGACTGATTAAATATAACTTTATAATAGCTAGCTGTCTTAAAAACATTTGTAAAAATCAGACATGAAAAATAAGTAAAGTTCATTTATTTCTTTTAGTTACCTTTCTCACCTGGTATCTGCCAAGGTGCCACAGGGCGAACCCCACAAACACGCCGGTATTCAAAGCACATGAGAGCCTAAGGTTTCATCCTTGTGAAAATAAGTTATATCTGATCGCTCTGGGATCTTAGAGGACTATACGGACTACAAAACTTGAACGCGGATTGCTTCATGCGAAACAAAATTTACTTAAATTAAAATTAAAGATGAATGGTATAGGTCCGAATGGTATAGGACTCCAAAATACCGGATCTAACCATCGTACAAATAAATGTGGGGAATTCTATAATCTAAAAACGGCTTGATTTCAAGAACATCTCGAAAACAATGTGTTATTAAAAAAATACTGGCGCCAATGAAACATCTATGTGATAAACATGTTATGACGATACTGTTGTAAACAAACCAGAGACACCCGCTCGTGTAAGAGCGGTTGATATAAAAGTTTACGCCGTCTTCACATATAATTCAGTTTGAATCTGTCCTAGCGAATACAACGCTGTAACTTATTCTCGATAGTAATTTTTCGACGTGGTTTTAGAAATGTGGGCTTCTTTTCTTACTATTCAGGAAGTAAACAGTTTAGAAAGTGATCACTTTATAAAAATATTCGGAAATGTTGTGGAACATTGTTTGGCAACCGGAATCGGTATTCTAAAACACCGGCCCTTCGCTTCTGTGGAAGATATCGTCAAAGCTGTAGAAGAATATCTGAGTGGACTCAAATTACAAGGTAAATAAAAAAGTACTATTGTAAATGGCAGGGTTGCAAAAATCATAATTTTTTTTTAAATCAGGTTTTTTTTAAATTAAATCAGATTTTTTTTATTTAAATCAATTTTTTTATTTAAATCAGATTTTTTTATTTAAATCAGATTTATTTTTTATTTAAATCAGGTTTTAAAAAAATAAATCAGATTTTTTTAATTTAAATCAGATTTTTTTATTTAAATCAGATTTTTTTTAATTTTAATCAAAATTTTTTATTTAATCAGATTTTTTTTATTTTAAAACAAAACGTTATTTATTTCGGATTTCCAAATAATTAGGACTTATTTCCAATTAAAGTTCTACCCCTAACTGGCCTAATCTTTGTAACTCTGCCCGATACCTTTCAAATGGTGATTTTACATTTTTTTTAAATGAAACATCTTGTTTGTTCTTTATTTTTACATAAACATTATTTATTAGTAAATTTGATGGTAATATAAACAATTATTTCTCTAAAGCAATGCTTGTCCAATCTTTTAAATTGAAAAATTAAGAACGTTATCGAAAAAAAACGGCGTCAAAAACGGCTAAGAAATGACAATCGATGATAATTTTGGCCAGATCAAGCCAGACGTCGTTTACTAAAAATTGTCATAAAACTTGTCAAAATTAACGCCAATTATAGAAAAATTAATATAGGATAGAAAGTTTCCAGGCACACAAATCTATTTCCAATTTTTTCGAAATTACCATCGATTGTCATTCCCCAACCGTCTTTGAAGCCGTTTTTTTTTTCGATAGAAAAATTTCTATACAAGAGAAAGATAATGGTGTCAGGGACGGCTTGCAAATGAAAATCGCTGTTCTATAAGTAAATTTAAGTGGTAAATGTCATCGACCGCCATTTCTAAAACAACTTGACGTCATTTTTTTTCTGTCTTACGATATTTATAGCTGGTATTGTTTTATAGATAAGGAGAAAGTCCTTCAACTATACCCAGACAGTGTCAGTAAATTGGCCAGCTTCAGTAATTCAATGCTAGAGTTCAATACCCATCAAAAAATCGTAAACAACACGCTGTCCAGTCTGAGATTTGAAGAGAAGAAACGTTTGAAGCAACTGTGCAGGCGTTATAAAGAAAAGAATGAATTTCCATTTATATTCTGTTCAAAAGAAGAGGATATTGAAAAAATTTGCATCGAAATAGAACTGAGGATGAAAAATAACAAGGAAAAGGAAATTGAAGTTGCTATGGCCGAAGTTAAGAAAATTTCTAGACAAAGAATCTACGAAATTGTTAAATAACTATCTGAACATTGAGATTATCCACCTTTAAGATGATGACAGCAGTTTTGCTAAGTGAGCAGCATTTATGAAAGGCTTATTTATTGCATTGTTTAGTTTATATATCATAATTTTCATTTTATATATTCATTTAATGAAGAAAGAAATGAAACATCATGTGATCATAACATCTCCCTTAACGATAGATACCTGATGCCTGTATTTTATGTTCCTGATTATAACTAAGACTGTTTTTTATACCTAGATATAGTAATATTATTAAAGTTGTGATGAAAGCCAATAGTCTATTTCTTAAAATTTGTGAGCTTAAAAAATACGTTTTTATACTGGTCCATTAAATAGATATTTTATTAAACTATGTTAATAATAATACTTATAAATATATACAACAAAAGTAATTGGCTTTGTTACAAAAACTTTATGTAAATAAATATATTAATTTAAAACAAAATTATTCTTGCTTAATTTTTACTCTTCTTTGGTTAGAAATAAATTTGAATAAAACCTTAAACCTTCTATCGAGTCATCCCTACAACATTTGCCATATTTTTCAGCCGTTAGGAGCCTCTCTTTAGCTAATGTTATAGAAATTCCTAATTTTTTGCCAAGTTCCTCAGCCGAAATTGATCCATCGTCTTCAATCTAAAAGGTTTTTATTTATTATTGAAAGAAATATTCTAAAAAGATGTAATATAACCCACCAATAAACTGGTAGCATTGGCAATGCTTTCACTGTCTAATGAACTCAGTTGTAAGACTTTAACACCTGAACTAAATTCAAATAACTTCAATGGTAATTGTAAAGACTCCATCAATTTACATGCACTTAATATATCTTCAGGGGATAATAACTCTAAGCCTAAAATTGATTAAACTACAAGTTTAACAATAAAATATTAAAAAAATAATTTACCTCGTGCTCTGTTTATCCTACAATAAACATCTGTCAGAGTCATCATACCACCCATATCCTCGATATACTTATATAAAAAATCTGATAGTTCTTTCGCAACACCTTTATAATACTGATTGCTTGACTTGTAGCCATCTCTAGTTACAGGGTCGTCAATACCCAAACTCATGAGGTATGATTTAAACCTAATTGTTTCATCTTCTGTAATATCACCTTGCTTATCCTAAATATATACCTATTACATTTAAATTGTTAATCTTCCATAAACACATTAAAATAAAAAAACCTTTATTTTAGTTGAAATAGCATTTGCCAATTTGACCATATCTTTTGCCATGCTCATAAGCTTACTTAAATCTTGGAATGCAGTATTAAGATTTTCATCAGCAGCCTTCTGTTTCTCTTGTAAACTCCTCTCAATGCCTATTATTCCAGTTCTTAGTTTAATTTGAGGTGCATTATCTTGAATTTGTGGTAGCAGTTTAGCTTCCCAATATCTAACTTGAAGACACTGACTTAATGTTCCCAAAACGTTGTTACTATAACCATCTCTAAATGACAATTTAACAAAATTGTACATACTATAAGAGATAGGTTTGCTTGCATCGTTGTCATTATGTTCTGATAAATGAATCAGAATCTTTCTAGACCGCTTAAAACTGAATGCGCTAGGTGTTTCTTCTTCTATATATACAATTAGTTCGTGCATAAGCGCTAAGCATGTTTCACCTCTGGCGATAGCACCTGGACGTCCCCACAATATTCTATGCGTTGTGATAATTAGTTCGCCACCTTCAAAATTTGTTTTTACTTCACCGTCGTACAACCTTACATTATTTTCACATAAAAGAGTATTTTCGTTGTCTATTAAAAGGGGACTAGCATATTTAAATCGGTTCATTTTGATAATTAATAAAACCAAAACATAACAAACTCTCTTTGACAACTAAACCACAGAACTAAACCATCTAAAATCTAAAATAACCTCTGTCTGTGATAAACTCAAATACTTTTGACAAGGAAAGAGAGGGGACAGGTAACACGGCAGCTGAAAGTGAGGCAAGTTGTCACCACACGAAATTCTCCAATTGCGTAACATCAGAAATTAGCTTGTACCTAGACGGTACAAAATATTATTATATATTAAAACGTAAACTAATATATCGTTCATTTTTGAGTAATGCATATACAATTTTGTATTTTATAGTCTCACCTTTATAATATTAGAATATCTAAGTCGATAATGCAAAATTTATTTAACAGTCACAGTAAACTGATTATATCAAGACATTTATTTATTAACGTGTGTATAATGTATAATTAAATAAAAAATAATGTAATAACATATGTTTTAAACGTGTATATACATATATACTGTATGATCGAAAAACACGGCGTCTTGTTTGTATGGAAATGACAATTTCACAAATAAATATTAAAAATTACATTATTCATTGAATCCGTAAGCAAGTGTGAAGGGAATTGGCTAGATTCATTATTATACCGTATAATCGAAAAAAACGATGTCCAGTTGGCTTGTAAATTACGATCGATGACATTCCCCATATAAAATGACATAAAAACTATACAAAACGACATCGAAAAAAGACGGCGTCAGCGATGGGTATGAAATGAAGATTGCTGTTATTTTATATGTAAAATTATATGGGGAATGTCATTTACAAGTCAACTGGACGTCGTTTTTTTTTCGATCATACGATATAATAATGAATCTAGCCAATCCCCTTCACACTTGCGTACGGAGTCGATGAATAATGTAATTTTTAATATTTGTTACCTTCAATCATAAAAATATTCTAATTTCCCACAAAAAAAATAAACAATTCTAGAAGCTTTGTGTTATTTTATTTATTTTTAAATTTTTATTAATTACTTACTGAAACTGTTATTATGTTATTATATATACACCTAAATTAGCAAATTTTTTGAAAGAATATATAAAAAAAAATATAGTAACAAGTAGCCCACCACAAGTTTATCCACCCCCACTAAATCTTCGCAGGTAAGTTTTATATAACAACTATACATACAGATTTTTTATCACTAGAATTTTTAATTTTTTTTATAGTTTACAATTATTTTACTATTTGATAACAATACTTTATACATTTTTTTACATGTAAAATAAGTAAAAAAATGTTTATTGCAGAAATTGTATTTCTCTAATTATAATTCCCTACGCCACTGGAGAAATTCATACTGAGTAGCATTATTTATAGTTTCAATCATTAATTATAATATAGTATATTGAAAATAATGCTTGGAATTATTAAAAATAGTTTTGTTAGGATGTGGTACCGTATGATCGAATAAAAACCATAATAAGTAAAATTATATGGGGAATGTCAACGATGTTCATTTCCAAGCCAACAGGACGCCGTTTTTTTTCGATCATACGGCACAAGACATATTAAAAGCATTTTACATATTTTTACTGCTATAATGAAAGAAATGTACATTTTATGACCATATAACAAAAGTTGTGTGTCGATTTTTACCTGTGAAATGTAATTCCAGCCACTTTTTTCTCGCTTCGGCCTTTGCAGCCATACGCAGAACATTTCACCATACTAATCAACACAGTTTATAAAATTTAAAACAAAACAGTATTCACAAAAAGCATAAAAATTCGCTTGGTGTCACCTCGAAATCTTGTCACCAAAGTATGGCCGCCGATCAAATTTTGGCCTCAAAAATTTTTCACTGAAGAATATGCGTGTTAGCTGTCCCCTCTCTTTCCTTGTCTAAGCTCAAATCACGCTCAAATACGTTTAAAATGCGTTTAAACCTTTGAATAAGAAGACTAAGGAAGGAGCATAATGCTATCCATGTATTCATGCATGGTGGGCGGAAAAGCCACCATAAAAGCTCTCTAGGGTGGGGATCCTTGACAGTTCTGTTTGACGATTCATTTGACCAGTGCCTTCTATTAAAAGATCAGCCTGCGGGCGAGATTTATGACGTCACGCTAGTTAGATATAACGGATTAATAAATATGTTGTAGAATACATGGAAAACATAATTATTCCTCAGATTTTTGGTTTGTATTTTAAAAATGATATAGTTTAAATGAAATATACATAATATACAGTTAATAACTACAAATATATATATACCTATTTATAGTAATAAATACTTTGGTAAATAAACTATGAACCACAAATGCAGCAAATGTTTTACAATGTACAAATAATGTATAGGTACATAAGATAATGGATAAATGTAAATATATTTTAAATTTTGGGTTTGAAAATGATCTAATTCTAACAAAAACATTAATATCTACTAATAGTGATGTATTATTATTTGTGACCACAAAATTTATATGTATATTTTGTAAGTATCAATGTTCGAAAAATTATATTTAGAAATAATAATAATATTATCTAAAAAGGCGTCAGCGATGGCTATGAAATGAAGACGCTGGCATTTTATATGTTAAATTATTCTAAAATTTTTGATTTTCTCAGATTTTTAGGTTCAAAAACGCTGATTAAGTTTTCATTTGGGTTTTCATTATTTTTATTTGGTTTAAAAAACGTTTCGCTAACTATAGCCTTCACAGTGTTGTACATATGAGAAAAATAGTGTCGAATATAATCCAAAAATTACATATACAATATAATTCACACCTCATAATGTTTACTGCAATTAATAAACTAATATAAACTTATCAAAAGATGACCACATATTTTTTTAAATTATATTATTCTTAACACTAAAAATTATCTACATTGACTATGGAGTACGCAAAAACATTATGTGCGTGGTGTGAATATTTTATATGCAATTTTTGGATTATATTCGACACTATTTTTTCATATGACACAACACTGATGGAGGCTATAATAAGAAGCCGAACCGTTTTTTTTTAAACCAAATAAAAATAATGAAAAATCAATCAGTTGCTTTTTCCCGAACCTAAATTCCGCAAGAAAATCAAAAATTTAGAATATTTAGAATCAAGTTGTTCAAGAATATCAAATTTTCCAAGATTGTAAATTCTAGTTAATTATTTTATGTGTACAGTTATTTAGGAATGTCATCGATGTTCATTTTGCCAACTAGACGCCGATTTTTTTCTGATGATACGGTATATTCTTACGTAAAATGTAAATAACATTAGACCAATTAAAACAAAGAAATATGAATTTCTTAGTATTTTAGTAACACCTTTATTCTTAAAACTTAATTTTGTATTATGCAAATATACCAATTTTATTGTTATTTTATTCATATTGTATTCAGCCATCACTTAAATATTTGATATTAATTTGGTATTATAAATAATCAATACTATTCATTAAAATTGTCGAACAAATATATGTTATGCTTAACATACATTATATTATCAAACAAAAAACACATTCTTCTTTTTTAAACAGTATCAGTCTTGTCTTTACAAAATCTTTTAAAAATTTGAACTCAAAATAATCTTTTTCATGATCTCTAATACACATATTCTTTATTTTTCCCTAGATCATAATACCTACTTACGTGTTTGAATAATATATCGAAGCTGAACCAGCAACACTTGAGTGGAGATTCCACAATATGAATAAAATAAACATAATTGTCCAGTTTTCATTAATACCATCATGGGAGAGAATATTATTTTTTAAATTTATTAAAGATATTTTCAATAGAATTTCCAAAAATCTACCTTTTCTTGCTCTTTCCGGACACTTTAGGTTGCCTAGTATAATAACTATCCTTGTAACTATCCTTTCCACCAGGAACACAACAAAGATGAGGCATAGCACCAAAAACACACTCCACTTAAGCTTTATTGATGAATTGGCTAGAGTCTCAGTACACACAAAAATCACGATAAGTAAAAAATGTAAGGGCACTTTTAGGTTAAATCACTTACACAACGTGTAATTTTTAAAATTTCTATTTTTTTATGCGAAACCGAGAGTGACCATATATCTGGTAGTAGTTTATGTCACTTCAACACCAAATAATTAGTTTTTTGCACTACAATAATAAATAATACCAAAATCAAAAGAGTTAAAACCAAAAAAATCAACCGACAAACTATGAAACGGAATCTAACCCAATATCTAAGTATGTACAGTTGATGAAGTAAATAAAAAAGTCCGCCCGTAGGCTGATTCCTTTAATAGAAGGCACTGATTTGACACATTTGAATTGATTTGAAATTTTGTGATTTGTCAGTCTTTACGGAGCTTATTTTATGTTATTTATTATCTCTACTATCAGAAGTTGTATAAAGGTAGTAAATCTTAGATGGAAATTGTGGCAGAACTTAAATTAACAGTGACACTATCGCGATTTATCGAAAAAGACTCTAAAATAGTTGGTTGTGTAGCGTGTAGTAGATCTCGGCAAAATTGAGTGAAATAATGGAACAACTTTTCGCTAGTAAGTGACTATATAATATATGTGTAGTAAACCGATCATTTATGAAATTCACTTAAATTAACTAAATTATATATTTTTCTTGCATTTTAGCTTTTATTTATTACTTGTCAAAGATTAGATGTCAAAGAATTTAGATACGTTAATTTGACTTCACTTAAGCTTCAGTAGCGTATCGGATGTTTGTGTTAATAAATACTTATTATAACTTTATCTATTTTTATTAGAATTATATATTTTTAACAATTTTAATACCAACATTTATTCACAACGTAAAATAAAACAACAAATATTGAGTCTACCCCACGTCTACCCTACATCATAGTTTTACATTTTTTATTGCCATTTCAAAGGTTTAAACCTTTGAATAAGAAGACTTAAGGAAGGAGCATATCAAAATCTATGGAGGGCTTGGGTGAGATTTATCGGCAATGGGCAATTTGAAATTTCTGTCCCCATTTTAAGCAGCTTCCTCGGTTTGACAGCAGAGGCACTGCGATCGACTGGGATACTACATTTTCATTGTTAGTATACGATTTAATTGTGTTTTTAATAAAATTTATAGTTAATTTACTGAATTTTTAGCAGTACAACAATGAGTCGTGGTAGAAATTGCTTTGTACCTGGCTGTACAAGTGGGAATCCCAATAAAAACAAGGCAAATAAAGAACGGGGTGAAAGAAACCCAAGCCTTTTCAAAGCTCCTAATGTAAGTAGTATGACTATTTATTTATAAAAATTATGGATAGATGTTAAGAAAAACATTAAAATTATATACTGTCAGTGTACAGATTAAATTATAAACCAAATTAATAGGAAATATAGCCTAAAATCAACATGTGTATAACATAACCTAGGAGGCCTTGTTATAAAATTAAAATAATTTAATACTTACTAGGTGCTAAAATTACCTGTTGACATGTACCTATATTAACCACAGTTTGAACAGTGCTATTGAAAGTGAATATTAAATATTTATACTTCAAGATCGTATTCTCAAAATAACAGCTTTAATAGTGAAAAATGTTTTTTTTTTATTTTATTTAACAATTATATATCTTTTATTAGGATCCTAGCTTGCTACAGCAGTGGCAAAAGGCGATACCCAGATCAGACAAGACACTTAGCAGCAAAGATGCTGTTTGTGAACTACATTTTCTAGATGAAGATATTTTGACTCATTATGAGATCAAATTAACTGACGGAACTATCAGTAGAATTGAGCGGGGTAGACCATTATTAAAGGAGGGTTCAATTCCAAGAATTTTTCCTAACCTGCCTTCATATTTCTCTAGTAATAAAAGAAAGAGGAAACCACCATGTGTAAGGAGTGAAGCAACTGAAAAAGTTTCTAATTCAAAAAAAGTAAAAGGTCTGCCTATTAATCATGTTGAAAATCAAACTTCAGAACCTAACTTTGAGAATGAGAATGAAATTCTTCGTGATATTACTAATGTGCCAGTTGATGTTACAGACAGTAGAGTTACTGTTCACAAATTTGAAAATAGTTTGTATATGTCAGATTGTAAATTATTATAAAAATTATTTAGATTTTTGACTAGCCGTCGCAAGACGCTTTTTCATTGAGGAATAATAAGAAATAATTTGAAAATTATTGTATTGTGGTTGATACTTTTGATTGTGTATATAAACCATTTAGAATAGTTTTTATGAATATGAATAAGCTCTTTAAATTAATATGTAGGTATATTGTAGCTAGGTATTTTTTTAGAATGCATTTTTTTTAAATTGTAATTTTTTGTGTTCTTGATATAATATGATGTTCCTGTTTTATTTTTTGGCATAGTACATATAGATATTTAATATCTAAGTGCTAAATTGTATATTAAATTTATATATTGTATATTTTATTTATTAAATTTAGTGGAATTAGTTAATAGAAACAAAAGTTGTAATGTATTAATATTGCTAAATAAATATTTATATGATGAAATAAGTCAGCGTATATACATATTCACAACTCTGTATTTTTGTGCTTTTGAAATAAACTGAGTACATTATTTATTCATTAATATTTTATTTACAAACCTACCTTATATTAATAAAGTGAATATCAATAGAAAAACCTTTACAATTATTAGGTGACATTGAATATAATATATCTTGAATTTAATTGTCTACGAAACAGTGACAATTTGCAAAACTTTGCTAATGACATTAAAACTTACAATTCAACGCTAGAAAAAACGCTATTGAACACAGGAAACGTTTCAGCTCAATATACCTACTCTCTAGTTTCAGCTATAAAAAGTTATGGAATAGATAACACCGATCAAAGGGTGCAATGGTAACGTTCGTCTTCAGTTTCCATTTATGATTAAGTTATTCCTGATAAAATACTCTTAATTTTCGTTATTCAATCTGTCAATCGCCATAAAACCACTACTAGTTCGAAAGATTTTAATGTTTATTAAAATGGTATCACACTAAACTGCATGTAAACATGTCAATTTCAAATGTTTTAATGAAAAACTATGAACCTTTAAACTGCATCAACAAAACTATTAATAAAACACTAACACAATCACACCATAAACTATTTCATTCGCATTTCTCATCAAGAAACAATTACTGTTTACATCAAATCAAAGGTTGAACTGGTGATAAATTTGTTGCTGGAACTTCTATCTTTTTTGTACAACAGTTCTAGGGAAGATTTATTTTAGCAGCTTATATGTTTCTTCGGTCGTGTATGCACTAAAAAGAACCACATAATAAAACATTTTTATAATATCAACTTAGGAAAAGGATATATTAAACCGGCATCTAATATAACCTAACTAACTTTTCAAACTCAAATTTAAGGTTTTGTATTCACAATTTTAGCCACGCACATTGCTCAATTAGAAAAACCACGTTTCTAAAAGCTAACTCTGGTAAAAATATGCCCAAATATTAACTTGGCTCTATAATTTATAACAAAATAGTTATTCTTGCCATAAGAAGCTGTGTATTTCTAGTATCCCAATCATCACAAGCGCCCCTAACGGCGATTTTCGAACTTCATTTAGATCTCAAAAACTGGGCCCATAATTTTTGCGTTCGATTCGCCTCCTCCTTTTAGACTCCATACAAAATCTTAAGCCCTGTCGAACTGCGTCGTCGCTGGCTACACAGTTTTTGACATTAAACAACTGTCGAGAGCTGTACTAAATTTAAAATGACAGCTGTTTAAATTTTGTACAAATCTCATTGGTCCTTCGGAAAAGCCACCATAAAAGCTCTCTAGGGTGACGTCCTTGACAGTTCTGTTTGACGATACAATTTGACCAGTGCCTTCTATTAAAAGATCAGCCTGCGGGCGAGATTTATACGTCACGCTAGTTAGATATAACGGATTAATAAATATGTTGTAGAATACATGGAAAACATAATTATTCCTCAGATTTTTGGTTTGTATTTTAAAAATGATATAGTTTAAATGAAATATACATAATATACAGTTAATAACTACAACATATATACCTATTTATAGTAATAAATACTTTGGCAAATAAACTATGAACCATACATATGCAGCAAATGTTTTACAATGTACAAATAATGTATAGGTACATAAGATAATGGGTAAAATGTAAATATATTTTAAATTTTGGGGTTTGAAAATCGATCTAATTTAACAAAAAACATTCAATATCTACTAATAGTGATGTATTATTATTTACATTCACAAAATTTATATGTATATTTTGCAAGTATCAATGTTCGAAAAATTATATTTACAAATAATACAATATTATCTAAAAAAAGGCGTCAGCGATGGCTATGAAATGAAGATCGCTAGCATTTTATATGTAAAATAATTATTCTAAAATTTTTGATTTTCTTGGGATTTTTAGGTTCGGGAAAAACGCTGATTTAAGTTTTCATTTGGGTTTTCATTATTTTTATTTGGTTAAAAAAAAACGTTTCGGCTAACTATAGCCTTCATCGGTGTTGTGTCATATGAGAAAAATAGTGTCGAATATAATCCAAAAAATTACATATACAATATAATTCACACCTCATAATGTTTACTGCAATTAATAAACTAATATAAACTTATCAAAAGATGACCACATATTTTTTAAAATTATTATTCTTAACACTAAAATTATCTACATTGACTATGGAGTAGGCAGTAAACATTATGTGTGTGGTGTGAATATTTTATATGTAATTTTTTGGATTATATTCGACACTATTTTTTTCATATGACACAACACTGATGTTAGCCGAAACGTTTTTTTTTAAACCAAATAAAAATAATGAAAAACCAAATGAAAACTTAAGCAGCGTTTTTCCCGAACCTAAATCCCAAGAAAATCAAAAAATTTAGAATATTTAGAAACAAGGTTCAACAATATCAAATTTTCCAAGATTGTAAAATTCTAGTTAATTATTTTATGTGTACATTTATTTAGGGAATGTCATCGATGTTTATTTCCAAGCCAACTAGACGCCGATTTTTTTCGATGATACTGTATAATTCTTACGTAAAATGTAAATAACATTAGACCAATTAAAACAAAGAAATATGAATTTCTTAGTATTTTTAGTAACACCTTTATTCTTAAAACTTAATTTTGTATTATGCAAATATACCAATTTTATTGTTATTTTATTCATATTGTATTGAGCCATCACTTAAATATTTGATATTAATTTGGTATTATAAATAATCAACACCTTTCATTAAAAATTACTGAACAAATATATGTTATGCTTGACATACATTATATATTATCAAACAAAAACACATTCTTCTTTTAAACTGTATCTGTCTTGTCTTTACAAAAATCTTTTTTAAAATGAACTCAAAGTAATAATCTTTTTCATGATCTTTAATACACATATTCTTTATTTTTCCCTAGATCATAATACCTACTTACGTGTTTGAATCTATCGAAGCTGAACCAACAACACTTGGAGTGGAGATTCCACAATATGAATAAAATAACATAATTGTCCAGTTTTCATTAATACCATCATGGGAGAATATTATTTTTAAATTTATTAAAGATATTTTCAATAAAATTCTCTTGATTTATAACTCGTACCCACTTTTCTTGCTCTTCCGGACACTTTAGGCTGCCTAGTATAATAACTATCCTTAGTAACTATCCTTTCCACCAGGAACACAACAAAGATGAGGCATAGCACCAAAAACACACTCCACTTAAGCTTTATTGATGAATTGTTAGAGTCTTAAAAAACACACACAAAAATCACGATAAGTAAAAAATGTATGGGCACTTTTAGGTTAAATCACTTACACAACGTGTAATTTTTAAAATTTCTATTTTTTTATGCGAAACCGAGAGTGACCATATATCTGGTAGTAGTTTATGTCACTTCAACACCAAAATAATTAGTTTTTTGCACTACAATAATAAATAATACCAAAAATCAAAGAGCTAAAACCAAAAATCAACCGACAAACTATGAAACGGAATCTAACCCAATATCTAAGTATGTACAGCTGATGAAGTAAACAAAAGTCCGCCCGTAGGCTGATCTTTTAATAGAAGGCACTGATTTGACACATTTGAATTTGATTTGAAATTTTGTGGATTTGTCAGTCTTTACGGAGCTTATTTTATGTTATTTATTATTTATTCTACTACTGGTAGTTGTATAAAGGTAGTAAATCTAGATGGAAATTGTGGCAGAACTTAAATTAACAGTGACACTATCGCGATTTATCGAAAATAAGACTCTAACAAGTAGTTGGTTGTGTAAACATGCGGTAGATCTACTGCAAAAAGTGAGTGAAATAATGGAACTAACTTCTTCATCTAGTAAGTGACTATATAATATACATACGCTAAAATGCAACCGATCATTTATGAAATTCAGTTAAATTAACTGAAATTATATATGATTTTTCTTGCATTTATAGCTTTATTTATACTTGTCAAAGATTAGATGTCAAAAGTTTAGATACGTTAATTTGACTTACCTGAGATCAGTAGCGTATCGGATGTTTGTGTTAATAAATACTTATTATAACTTATCTATTTTTATTAGAATTATATATTTTTATAACAATTTTAATAACTACCAACATTTATTCACAACGTAAAATAAAACAACAAATTATTGAGTCTACCCCACGTCTACCCTACATCATAGTTTTACATTTTTTACTACATTTCAAAGGTTTAAACCTTGGTTTAAACCTTTGAATAAGAAGACTTAAGGAAGGAGCATATCAAAAATCTTAAGCCCCGTTCTCAGAACTGCGTCGTGTCGCTGGCTACACAGTTTGACATTTCAAACAACCAATGAGAGCTGTACTAAATTTAAAATTGACAGCTGTTTAAATTTTGTACAAATCTCATTGGTCCTTTTGACGTGTCGTCCGCGACACGACGTCGTTCTGAGAACGGGGCTTTAGGTACACCGCGCAGTGCCTTCTATTAAAAGATCAGCCTGCGGGCGAGATTTATGACGTCACGCTAGTTAGATATAACGGATTAATAAATATGTTGTAGAATACATGGAAAACATAATCATTCCTCAGACTTTTGGTATGTATTTTAAAAATGATATAGTTTACATGAAATATACATAATAGTGGGAGTTAATAACTACAACATATATACCTATTTATAGTGTAAATACTTTGGCAAAATAAACTATAAACCATAGGAAATGCAGCAAATATTTTACAATATACAAAAATAATGTATCCTGGTACATAAGATATTGGGTAAAAATGAAATATATTTTAAATTTTAGGGTTTGAAAATCGATCTAATTTAACAAAAACATTCAATATGATAATAATAGTGATGTATTATTATTTGCATTCACAAAGAATATGTATATTTTGCAAGTATCAATGTTCGAAAAATTATATTTACAAATAATACAATATTATCTGTAAAGGCGTCAGCGATGGCTATGAAATGAAGATCGCTGGCATTTTATATATAAAATTCTAAAATTTATGATTTTCTTGGGATTTTTAGGTGCGGGAAAACGCTGATTTAAGTTTTCATTTGGGTTTTCATTATTTTTATTTGGTTTAAAATAAAGTTTCGGCTAATTATAATAAAATAACAGTGTTGGTCATATGAGAAAAATAAGTGTCGAATATAATCCAAAAATTACATATACAATATAATTCACACCTCATAATTGGTTTACTGTTATTAATAAACTAATATAAACTTATCAAAAGATGACCACATATTTTTTAAAATTATTATTCTTAACACTAAAATATCTACATTGACTAATGGAGTACGAAGTTTACATTCTTGGAAAATTTGGATATTCTTGAACCTTGATTCTAAAATATTCTAAATTTTTGATTTTCTTGAATTTAGGTTCGGGAAAAACGCTGATTGATTTTTCATTTGGTTTTTCATTATTTTATTTGGTTTGTAAAAACGGTTCAAGCAATATAGCCTCCATCAGTGTTGTGTCATATGAAAAATAGTGTCGAATATAATCCAAAAATTGCATATAAAATATTCACACCACGCACATAATAAGCATTGCGTACAATTTAGTGTGTTAAGAATAATAATTTTAAAAATATGTGGTCATCTCTTTGATAAGCTTATATTAGTTTATTAACAGTAAACATTGCGTGGTGTGAATTATATTTTATATGTAATTTTGGATTATATTCGACACTATTTTTCTCATATGACACAACACTGATGAAGGCTATAATGTTAACCAGAAACGTTTTTTTAAACCAAATAAAAATAATGAAAAACCCAAATGAAAACTTAATCAGCGTTTTTCCGAACCTAAATCCCAAGAAAATCAAAAAATTTAGAATATTTAGAAACAAGGTTCAAAGAATATCAAATTTTCCAAGATTGTAAAATTCTAGTTAATTATTTTATGTGTACAGTTATTTTAGGGAATGTCATCGATGTTCATTTCCATGTGCCAACTAGACGCCGATTTTTCGATGATACGGTATAATTCTTACGTAAAATGTAAATAACATTAGAATTCAATTAAAACAAAGAAATATAGATTTCTTAGTATTTTTAGTAACACCTTTATTCTTAAAACTTAATTTTGTATTATGCAAATATACCAATTTATTGTTATTTTATTCATATTGTATTCAGCCATCACTTAAATAATTTGATATTAATTTGGTATTATAAATAATCAACACTATTCATTAAAAATTACGGAACCAATATATGTTATGCTTGACATACATTATATATTATCAAACAAGAAACACATTCTTCTTTTTAAACTGTATCAGTCTTGTCTTTACAAAAAAAATTTTTAAAATTTGAACTCAAAATAATAATCTTTAATGCACACATATTCTTTATTTTTCCCTAGATCATAATACCTACCTACGTGTTTTGAATCTGTTCATAGCTGAACCAACATATTTAACACTATACTTGGGTGGAGATTCCCACCAATATGAATAAAATAAACATAATTGTCCAGTTTTCATTAATACCATCATGGGAGAATATTATTTTTAAATTTATTAAAGATATTTTCAATAGAATTCTCTTGGTTATAAGCCGTACCCACTTTCTCTTGCTCTTCCGGATACTTTAGTCTTTAATAGAAGGCACTGAGCCGACATACGATACGATAACCATAAAATAATTAACTAGAAAGAAGTGTCAACTCTGTGTTAAATCGTGGAAGGCTGAGGCGCCACCGAAAGCCTTTCGCTGCCTAGTATAACTATCCTTTCCACCAGACCAGGAACACAACAAAGATGAGGACATAGCACCAAAAACACACTTCCACTTAAGCTTTATTGATGAATTGTCTAGAGTCTTAAAAACACAAAATCACGATAAGTAAAAAATGTATGGGCACTTTTAGGTTAAATCACTTGAACAACGTGTAAATTTTAAAATTTCTAGGATTTTATGCGAATACCACTAGGTGACCATATATCTGAACGTAGTAGTTTCTGTCACTTAAACACCAAAATACATTAATTTTGCACTACAATAAATAATACCAAAAATCAAAGAGTTAAAAACCAGAAATCAACCGACAAAATATGAAACGGAAGCCTTATACCCAATATCTAAGTATGTACAGCTGATGAAGTAAACAAGTCCGTCCCCCAGGCTGATCTTTTAATAGAAGGCACTGCACACCGCGATGGGCCTCAAATATAGCCGACTTAAATTCCGGTTTATCAGAAACAGAAAACAATTTTTCTAATTTTTAATTAAAAATGTAAAACTATGATGTAGGGGTAAACAGACGTGGGGTAGACTCAATAATTTGTTGTTTTATTTTACGTTGTGAATAAATGTTGGTAGTTAATTAAAATTGTTATAAAAAGATATTTATTCTAATAAAATAGATAAGTTATAACAAAGTTATTTATTACCACAAACATCCGATACGCTACTGAAGCTAAGTAAGTCAAATTAACGTATCTAAATTCTTTGACATCTAATCTTTGACAAGTAAAAATAAAAGCTAAAATGCATAGAAAAATATATAATTTAGTTGCATTTAAAAAATTTCATAAATGATCGGTTTACTACACGTATGTATCATATATATAGTCATACTTACTACTGCAGAAAAGTTGTTCCATTATTTTCACTCAATATATATTGCCGAGATCTGCCGCACGCTACACAACCAACCAACTATTTTAAGAAGTCTTTGCGATAAACGGAATGAATTAAAATCGCGATAGAATGTCTTCTGTTAATTTAAGTTCTGCCACAATTTCCATCTAGTTTACTACCTTTATACAATCTATCAGTAGTAAAGAATGAAGTAGGGAGTTTTCGTTAGCTTTAAAAAAATTCAACGGTACGGTTAGGCGGATACGTGTCATAACCGCTATTTTTGACAGATAAAAACAGTTTTCGGACTTTTCGGTTCATCGGTTTCACTGCCGACATACGATACGTAACCGAAAACTGACAGCTAAGCATAGCCCGTAGCGTAGTGTTTTGATTTTTGGTTTTTGTATTGTTATTTGATTTGAAAGTGCTTTATATGACTTTATTGGGTATCGCTATATAGGATGGACAATTTAATGTTATTGGACTCTAGTGATGAATCGGATTTGGAGGATGCTATGCTGTTGGAAGGGTTTGAAAACAACATCGAATATCGAGCAGAACTTTATGGGGAGTTCAACCTAGAAATATTATCTGACCAAGAGTGCAAAGCTAACTTCCGCTTTGAAAAAAAAGACATTCCTCGATTAGTTGAATCACTGAATTCCCAACGAGTTTAACACAGATAAAATAAATATGGTATGGTATGGTAATGATGAGCTGCCTCCCTCACTGTGGCAGCTCTATGGCTCTGCTTCCTATGAAGGTGCAATTTGCCAGCGCATTAGTTTTGATTGCAGGCCGTCTGACTTTTCGTCATGCTGCAATCAGTGATTTTAGTTCCTGAAATAAATCTAATTACATTTTAAGTAAGGATATCTGAAGTGTGTGCTTGTTTTGCATTGGTTAAATCGTGACTGTTAGTATCTGGACAACACAAACAAAGGTCTAGACTCTCCCGCCCGCAGAGGAGCATTACACAAAATGGTGCGGATCGGATGGATGAGGATTGGTGTTGTGGTGTCAAGCCTAAATAAACAGAAAAGGATGTATTAGTTGAAGTTATAATTCTAGTTTGTTTTTGTCTATAAACGCGTTGATGAGATTAATGGTTTTTAGCTTGGCGTTGTACAGTACTGTCTGCATACTGAATGGTGTAGTGTGGCCGTCTTTTATTAGTTTTGTGTATAGATCTGTTTGAGGATAGGTTCTCAGGGGGCATGCCAAGAATATATGGTTTATATTTTCTATTTTTCCACACTCGCAAAGTGGGCTGTCAATTATTCCTATTCTATTCAGATGGACCTTTGTGCGACAGTGTCCTGTTTTAAGTCGTATGATGTTGGTTATGTCCTTTCTTCTGGCGTATTTTAAATTGTCAAACCATCTGGTTTTGGGAAATTTTTTAACGATTTCTGAGTACCATCCCCCCTTGTTGGTGGCTGTTGTTTTCCATTTTTGGGAAAATTCTTCTGTAAGTTTGTGTTTAATAACTGCTAGTATATCTGCCTTGTCGATTTTGATGTTCTTGGGTACATTGAGTGACCTTCCAATATTTGCGAGTTTATCTGCAGCTTCGTTTCCACTTATATCTGTGTGACTTGGTATCCACGTTAGGTGTATTTTCGTTCCGCTATTGTTTGCTTCTAATAGGAGTTTTTTGGTTGATAGTGTGATCGAGTCATTTGAAGTGTTTACCCCGGGATATCGAATCTTGTCAATGGCGCTTTTAGAGTCTGAGAGGATTACAACATTTCTTAGCTCTTTGCACAGAGAAATAATAATTGCCTTGTTAATTGCAACTATTTCCGCTGTGCAAATTGTTACTTCCTCTGGTAGTCTTTCTGCATAGTTGATAGGGGGATTGTTGCAATAGACTCCGTAGCCCGCGTTGTTTTTACCCTTGGAGGCATCTGTATATATGAACGTGTGGTTGGATCTAATGTTTTCGGTGATTTCGTAGAATAAGTTTTTGTTAGAAACTTGGCTTTTTTCCAGATTCAGATCGATCACCTTTATCATTTTTATCTGATGTTGTAGTTGCATTTCGTAGCATGGTGCCCTGTCACTTTTGTATATTTTGTTAGAGTATTTGTCTAGGTAGCTCAGAGCAGTGACTAGATAAGGCGTCTCCTTGTTCTTCCAGAAGTTTGCATTTTTTGCAAGTGATTTCCTGATGTTTTTTAAGAGTGTTGTTAATGGGTGGTCATTATGAGAGTAGATTTTTAGGAGAAATTTTACGGAAAGATTTTTTCTTCTATGGTCCATTGATTGTTCTTTTGCCTCTGCCAATAACGCCCATGTCGGGGTAGATTTCATGCATCCATAAAATAAATAATCAAAACATAAACAAAATAGAATGAGGTTAGGTTAGATCTGTATTTTTCAATGTTGTGTTTCTACTGCGCTAGTGCGCATGCGTACCGCTATGTTAACGGCTTTGGCTAACGTCCGTACAATATCGGCAGCTAGCGGTTACGATATACGATAATCGAAATTGAAATGTCAAAGTTGTCAATTAGCGTTAACCGGAATTGCAATTTGTAAGCAACGAAAACTCCCTAATAATAAATAACATAAAATAAGCTCCGTAAAGACTGACAAATCCACAAAATTTCAAATCAAATTCAAATGTGTCAAATGCATCGTCAAACAGAACTGTCAAGGATCCCCACCCTAGAGTGCTTTTATGGCGCTTTTTCCGCCCACCATGCATGAATACATGGATAGCATTATGCTCCTTCCTTAAGGTTGTCGCCCACTATAGCGCGCCTTTGAAACGCGGCAACGCTATTTAGTTATAGTCGAAGTGTTTTTTACTTACTGTAGTTTAGTTTTTAAAGCAATGAGTTCAAGTACGGACGAAAGCGTATTTTTTGTGCTCTTCTAATAGAGGAAGAGGAAGAGGGGGTGAGGAAAAGTTTGGACTCATACGATTAACAAAAAAAGAAAGAAGTTTGGAGAATTTTACCATCTTTTTCCAGATTTAATAAAAAACAAGATAATTTTTTTCAGCATTACAAAATATAAAGGAAACATTTTACGCACTCCTCAATTGAGGGTTTTAGAAGCAAAACACCGGGTATCTCTACTCATCATATTTTTTCATAAGAGACAAATTACTAATTCTTTTGATAATTCTTATTTATTCTGATGTGTATATTAGTTATGTGGTGAAAAAACCCTGATCTTTTTTATATATTTAGGTAATTAGAATTTAAAAATTGGAGATTGTCACTTTTGTTAAAAAGTGGAGATTGCCGGTTTTGCCTCTACACCCCTCAATTATATTAAATCTTTGATAGAAAGGCATTTCGTCCATCTGTCTCTAGTGAGGGAAGACTAAAAAAAATATCATATTCCTTTATGAAAATCGATTTGCCTAATTTACCTTTAAAAATACAATTCTACCAGTGATACGTATCACTAGTTCCTAGTCAAAAAGCCAACTGAAAAGACTCGAATGCAAAATTATTTCCCTTGTTAGTACGTACACAGCAACGCGTCAAAACGCGGGAGACGGAAAAAAGTTGCTAGAGAAGTCTTCCGACTTCTTGACGGAAATACCGCGGCGCGCTTCTGCGCTGCGCGCTCTAATGTGCGTTGGTCCATTTAAATACATGGCAAGCAGACAAAAGAAATTTCCACATGGCGCCGCGGTCTAGTGGGCGACAACCTTTAGTCTTCTTATTCAAAGGTTTAAACCCATATACGTATTACCACAGATAACACATAATCTGTGTAACACCAGAGAAATAGAAGGGATAGAGAATGAGCGTCAACATGCGCAGAAGGTCTAATCAAGTTGGGCGCCATATTCCAGGTCTCCGTGTCATTTTGTATATAGGTGGTAATCTATAAGTAATCAAATATCAATTTGCTGTTTTCAACCATACGGGGGGCAATTTAAATTTAGTGAAATTCTATCATTCATTATGGTTAGTTAACATTAATATGATTTATTTAATTATCAGTTTCAAAACTGCGTACAATATTGGTATATAATACACTAAATATACGAATATTCTGACAAAAGACGCTACGGACAGATGACCTTTTCGTCGTAAAACACTCGAAATGATATTAAATAAGTATTTACAATATTTCATGTTTACTTGTACTGAATTACGCGTTTCAATTTAAAATTTTTGCAAATTTGGTAAAAATTGTTCTAAACAACTTTTTGTTCAAGTTGTATATTCATAAAAAACATTTGGTTCATAATTATTTTTGATGATTACCTACCTTGTATTTTTAATATAAACCTAGAAAAAATATGTTTTTGTTTTATTTTTTTTATTCGTCCCTTCAAATTATGTTTCAAAAACTGTTACATAACATGTCCTCTAACAAATATTTTCATAATACATAAACATCATTGATTTTATTAAGGGTATTATTATTAGTATTTATCCTGGTTTTTGTCGACAATAAAAACTCAATCTTGTAATAGAACATCAATTTTATATTTCGTAAAATTATTTTGATACAAATTCGATTTGTCAAAATTCAAGTCATTAATATATTGATAAACAACCCAAATTATTCCTAAATATTTTATTATAAACAAAAACTGTTACCGGTAAGTTTGTAAAACACATTATGGTTGTCGTAATACTAGAAAAAATAATTTATTTTTTGCACAAAAGAAGCTTGTCGATCCTTATTTGTCCATAACAAAATTCTGTATGTACAACATACATATACCTAATTTATTATTAAGAAAATTAGATTATATGATCTCAGAATTTTAAGAAAAATTTTTTTAAGATAAAATAGTTTCTTCTCAACTGTAATATTGTCAACTTTGGCCTGTATTTTATCTATTTAAAAACATGGGATTGACAATTCCCTTACTAAAATACATACTGGAAGGTACCGATTAAGTTTCATTGCATCAAATACCTTTGCTAAAAATCCTGGCTCACAATTTAAGGCCATTGCAAAATGCTTTTGAACTTCATCATAGATTTTACAAGAATAAAAGTGTAATATTGAAACAAAGTAACATTGTAAGCTTCATGACTAATAGTCTCGTTTTTAACACTCTTCAAATATCATCTCGTTAACAATTATGAATATTATATGATTTTTCTCAGTGATTTGTGGCACAGATACAAATTAATACCGTATGATCGAAAAAAAACGGCGTCCAGTGGCTGGGAAATGACAATCGATGACATATCCCATATAAATTTACATATAAAATGACAGCGATCTTCATTTCATAGCCATCGCTGACGCCGTTTTTTCTCGATCATACGGTATATGCCCCATAACAGTTTTTAAATAAGAAATTTCTGCCTACAGATTTAATTTTCTTATTGGCATAATACCCTTTCTTCCTATATAAATCTTGCCATTTTTTCAGTCCAATGTTCCTTGTTTTACAGTTGTAGGAATACTAAAAATGTTGACTATAGAACTCGATACTATGTTTGAAAAAGCCTTCATACCTGTAACTGTGCATAAATCTAATTAACTGAATTCTCCTCCTCTTGACACTCTGAACACGGCTGCTGCTAATGTTAGAAATATTTAGCACAAAACTACAACTACCTACAACAAACTTTACAATAAAAGTGTTAAATTTTCGCTGTTCGATTAAAATACCCTATCTTATGTTTTCTTTTCCTCCAAATAATCTTCTTGTCAAGTAAGGACCAATCTTATTTGATATATTTCTGGTACACTTGAACTTGTGCTTTCATGGACACTATAAGAGTGCACTGTTTTACAGAAGCACGAACACTGATTCCAAGTATCTTCTTCCTCCACACGTAATAAAAACATCCTCTTTAAATGGCCACATCATACACTTATTTTTGACCATTCCCAATTACAATCACGATTTTTACAAATCGCCTTTAGGAAAACTAAAAATAAACAGTTTTGAATCATCTGTAAACACAATTATGTTGTATAAACTTACACATGAAAACTAATCATTATTCCCGGCGTATTAGCTTTCTTAGAATGACTATGAATATACAACAATCCTTTTTGAATTAGTGTTTAGAATAATTGAGATAATAATAAATTTTAACTAGATAACAACACAAACGAAAAACAAAACAAAACAAAACAAACAGATGTCAATTAAAGAGGGGAAGTGACAGCGAGACCTGGAAGATGTCTGCCATCTTGCCGTCGACAAAAATTTGGATGCGCACTCGTCGAAGCTCATTCTCCCACTTCCATATCTCTGTGTAACACACAATTATGTGTTATCTGTGATTCTCCACTAAATTAAATGTTTTTGATCGATAATTTGACTGTTTTTTATTAAAAACCCATGACGTTGTGTGCCATACGTCGTGTGTGTATGAGCAGGATCTCACTATACCTTCCGTTACCGGTCCATATCCCAAACTAAAACCTAAAATATGGTAGATTTTAAAAAAGAAACCCAAAATAATATGAAAAAAATATTTCAGATTAAATTTTTCTAAGAAACTATTTTTCTTTAAACTGTATTTGAAGTAATAATTTACAGATTACATTTACATTACATAACTTACAGAAAATTGTAACAAATTAAAAACACACTGAAACAATGCACAAAAATACGGTGACGATTCACTTTAGGGCTGTCGCGAGGATTGCATTTAAAATAAAAATTTTTAAGCTACCAAAACAAAGTAAAAGACATTTGTGAAAGAACTAGGTGAGGAATATTCGATTTCTGAAAAACCTATGCTAAAACAGTTTTGTAAAATAAATAACACAAATGGGTACTATTTTTTGACGCGGAGGCGGCGGAGTAATGTCGGGTGTTCGATATTTACGTTCCGATTGACGGATGGCGTCTTGTTGCTCTAACGCGCATGCTCATACCGGGAACATGGACGCTTTTAAATTTACGCTACCCTTGTACATTTTTTATTTATTTAGAGTTGTTGGTAACGGCGATCAAAATACGCCTACGGCGATCAAAATATTATATATATAATAATATATATATATAATAATATATCGACTCGAAGAAACTCGTTGGTCACTGGAGTAACATTTCAGTCTTCAAGATATTCTAGTAAGTAAGAACTACTTCTGCAATTAGTAAACTACTTCTACAATTAGTAAGTTTGGTTTACATACTACTATGCATATATTTACTGAAGAAAGAATAAGAAAATCTTACATTTTTTTACTAAAAAACGTCCCGTCTATTTAAATTTTTCCTTTGTCGGGTTTAGGATGGGTTTAGGCGGGTTTAAATGACTACAGCGCCAGTCTTATTTAGTGAGAGTTTTTGGAACTATCGTCTAAACGATTATGGCGCCTCCATACGGAAAGTCATAAAAGTAAGCAAATATAGATTTCTGCTTTTACTTTGTATGGGTGGCGTCATCATGGGTTGAATATTTAAGCTACAAAAAATAACAACTAACAACTAGTACTATCTAACGTTAAATAGTTGAACTTCGGTTAAAATTTTCTTAGAATTTTAAAGAAATCTATATTTTTTTGTCCCCAAAAAGTGTTGAGTCAGAGTCATCTATGAATAAAATTTTAAACTAATTTTGATTTTAAAAATATTTTTATTTTTTTATACCTGTTTCACAGACCTGTTTGTAAAATGCTTATAAAAGAAAAGTAAATGATTTTTTTTCAGTTTGATAACAAATCTACTGGTTAAGTTAAAATGTACGATCTATATAGTATATTTTAAATAATTTTTAGTATTATTTATCTACCATTCGTATTGTTAAGTGTAAACTGTGAAGACATACATGTAACATTTTTTATTTCAGATACATATATGTAATAATCAGTGATATGAGCTTATTATGAAGACAAGAAAGGAGAATACACCAAGAAAATGATTCTCTTTAGGGAAGATATGTACTTGCGTAGAATTTCATAAGAAAACCTCACCGATTGTAGTCTGCTTTTCGATGAAAGTGTGTGCCAAAAAAAAGTAAAGCTGGAGCATCAAGATTGGAATCCTTGTGATGGTTTCTGCTTCTAATTGTTGCCTTCAAATCATTCCTCCAAATACCTTCAGAAAATTATACTCTTTAACATTCAAATCCATGATCCATGCATGGACTCTGTGCTGAAATGTATTAATGTTATGAAGAGATGCAGTGTATAAGGTATTTTTGGGTCCGTTTCACTTTAGGGCTGTCAAAATTAACAAATTTTCTATAAAATAAAGTGGATATTCTGCCTTTTTAGACTAAAATAAAGAACTTGAGGTGAGGAAAAATGCGATTTTTTGTAAAATAAGCGAGAAAAATTTTCTAACCTCAAAAATATTTTCATAGCTTTTCGTGCAATAGTTTTTAAGAAAATCAACGAATATATAAAATATATATAAAATACCAAAAAACACCAGAGACTAACCAACGCGATCAAAATACGCCGTAGGCGTATTTTGATCGCCGTTACCAACAACTCTAAATAAATAAAAAATGTACAAGGGTAGCGTAAATTTAAAAGCGTCCATGTTCCCGGTATGAGCATGCGCGTTAGAGCAACAAGACGCCATCCGTCAATCGGAACGTAAATATCGAACACCCGACATTACTCCGCCGCCTCCGCGTCAAAAATAGTACCCATTTGTGTTATTTATTTTACAAAAACTGTTTTAAGCATAGGTTTTAAGAAATCGAATATTCCTCACCTAGTTCTTTCACAAATGTCTTTTACTTTGTTTTGGTAGCAAAATTTTTATTTTAAATGCAATCCTCGCGACAGCCCTAAAGTGAATCGTCACCGTATTTTTTGTGCATTGTTTCAGTGTGTTTTTTAATTTGTTACAATTTTCTGTAAAGTTATGTAATGTAAATGTAATCTGTAAATTATTACTTCAAATACAGTTTAAAGAAAAATAGTTTCTTAGAAAAATTTAATCTGAAATATTTTTTTCATATTATTTTGGGTTTCTTTTTTAAAATCTACCATATTTTAGGTTTTAGTTTGGGATATGGACCGGTAACGGAAGGTATAGTGAGAATCAACCATTAGGCTTAACATAAAGCATATTTATAAAAACAAAGGCAAACAATTAAAAAACGAATTATATTATTAAATGGTTTTACAAATTCACCCACTCAAGACCTTCTGCTTCTATGACCTCAGCGCCTGCATCGGGATGTGTCGAGTTTACGTGCTGCTCTAAATAAGTCTTATCAGCGAAAGTATCGGTGCACCATGGACACTTTATTTCAGCGTGTAGACGAGAATGAACGTCCAGCGCTACAACCGATGCAAAACCTTTGCCACAAATCTTGCAGAATTGCGTATTTTCCTCCTGGATGCTGTGTTTACTTTTTAAATGTCCTCTTAAAGATACTCTTTGCCTAAATCCCTCTCCGCAAATATTGCATTGGTAAGGAGCCTCATTGGTATGTTGCCTAACGTGCGTGCGTAACGCATGTTTACCCGAGAAGCCTTTACCACAATACTCGCATATATGTGGTCTCATTTTCATATGTTTCATATTGATGTGCTTTGTGAGGTAAACTAAAAATAAAAATGGAATATAATATACAGTATGTCCCCGAATTGTCGTTACAAGAGGAAAAACTTTTTTATTATTGACATTTTGACAAAAAGGCATTCTTTCTGGAAAGGCTGAAAAATATATTTTTTATTTATTTATTAGTATTTCTGAAACTATCAAAATATATTTAACAATATCTCAGGATCATGTAAAGCGTTTGTCAAAGCCAAGAATGCAGAATGCAATAAAATACAGGGAGTTCCACTTAAAAAATCATCCAGATCCACTCACAGTTTTTTGAGCCACTCTGTAGAAATTAAAATTCCCTTCTCCACATTGCCACTGATACAAAATTCCAAATTTTTTTTATTACAGAAGCTACAAATGCCGGACGCTCTATTGCCGGATCCTGATTATTATAAATCAAAATTTAAAATAAAATTACATTTTCGATTGTTAATAAAAAAAAACAGCAGTCAATTTCAACTTAAATAGCTAGTAAAATGTAAAAAAATTATTTAATAATAATAATAATACAACTGAATGAAGCTATGATATACTATTTGATATTTAACAAATATTATTCTAAATATTATCTATAGGATGAAGTACCTAGATGTGTAACATCTGTATGTACTTTAAAGGTATAATGAAACTTTATTTTATTTTAAAGGATATTCCATAATATCAAAACTTTACATAATCAAAATAAGTGGTAAAAAAAAGGTGCTAGCGAAAATAAGCTGTCCAAAAAATAAAAGAATGACCAAGATATACAACCATTAAACATACTTAAATAAAGTGATTTACAAAAATAATACACTACAGTTAGACAAAATACCTTTCAAATTGATTGTAGTTTCCATATATTATATTTTTGCTTAATAATTTAAATTGTTTCAGTTTCACACAATTTCTCACCTCCAATGGCAACAAATTATATAGCTTATAGCTTAGGCCCGAAATAAGTAACATACCTTAAATTAAGGTTATTGGTACTCATTGGTAATCTGATTTGTTTTGTTTGTCGAGTTCTGTGAAATGTAAATTGTTCTAACATTAACAGTTTCCCTATCAAATAGCAAGTGTGTAGGAAAAAGTCTGTTTTTTCTATAAATTATTTTTAAAATATATTTTTGTATTATATTTAATTTATATAAGCTGCTTTCATAAAGCCCTCCCCATACCAAAATACCATACCTTATTATTGATTCCACAAGAGCTTTATAAATCATAATTAGGATGTTTTTATTTAGAAAGTCTCTCAAAAGGTAAAATTTATGAACTAATTTACGAATTTTTCTGGATATGTAATCAATATGAGGTTGCCACTTCAAAAATGTATCAATCACAATTCCAAGATATTTTATTGATGGAGTTTCTTTAATAGAATAATCGTCAATTGCAATGGTGCTATATTGTGGTCGGTTTGCCCTTGTGAGTGAGAACGCTATGTATTTGGTTTTTTCTAAATTCAATGTTAATTTGTAATTTTGAAGCCATATTTTTACTTTTGTCAAACAATCTATTGTTTTAGTTTTTACATCTTCCCAGCTATCTCCCGAAACAACCAGGGCTGTGTCATCTGCATAAGATATAGTTAGACCATTGATAGATAGTTTTAATAAGGAGTTTATATATAGTACAAAAAGTATTGGTCCTAACACGGTTCCTTGTGGAATTCCAATTTTAATTTTTTGTTGGTCGCTTAAGGTTTGATTAGATATAGATCTACTACATTTAGTACTTACGTTTCAAAAAAAATGTTTTTCCGCACGTTTCACATTTATAATTCCTCTCTTTCGTATGATCCTTTCTCCGATGATATAGCAACTTTGTTTTTGTACGGAACAATCTACCACAGTCCTCGCATACCAACATAGATGGATTCTTGTGATAGTATGTAAAATGCATCTTCAAACTACAAAGGTTCTTGCAAGTCTCACCGCAAACTTCACATATAACGGGACATGACTCGTGAAAGGTCATGTGCTTCTTAAAATAACTACTTCTAACTAATTTATTACATACTGGACATGTTTTGCTTTTATGTCTTGTCATGTGGTTGTTAAAAGCGGTTCTATTGGTGAATTTAATTTGACAGTGATTGCAGTACATTTTTAACAGTTCCTTTTTTCTCTGTTGTTGAGTAGAAGCTAACCTGCTTGTAAGATTTGTTGTTTTGATTTCTTTTCTTTCTATCCATTTGATGATACTCAGTTGGTCATTATTGCTCATTGTTTTCCAGGATGATGTTTTTTGCCTACTTTCAAGTAGCTTTAAATCATTTTGTGCATTAACAGGTAGCTCATGAGATACATTATGCATTCCTAAATGTTTGTCACTTTCAGTTTTAACTGTAAGTACTGGAGTTTGCACCATTCTCTTCTCTACATTATCAATCCTTGTCAGAGACTCATTATCCCTGCTTACTGTGTTTGTAATATTTTCTAGACTTATTAAATTGTGTATCAACGTTCGACTTGTACTTTCAATGTTATTGCGAACTTGCGATTGTCTCATTCTATTAATTTTGGAATTTAATAGCCTGTATGACTGAATGATTCGTCTTCTTACCATAAAGGCCGATTTAACATCTCTAGTACATTTTAGACAAGATATTTTTGGTAAAGCATCATCAGATTTAATCTATAACAAATTTGTGTTATGTTAAAGGAAAATAATTATGAATTGAACTAAAACATAAATTGAGTTATAAGTAAAATGAGCTTTTTACCAGTTTTTAGCTCTCTCATTTATAGTTTTTACATTCAATTACCTTTATGGATGTTAACATTTCTATCATTTTCGGAAAATCATCTGTAAAAATATTAAATTTTGTAACGGTAAGACTTAAGCACAGTCTGCAAATTTCTAATTTCTCTATAGTATTTCCTAGTTCATCCATTTCAAGTAAATTTTTCTTTCCTGAAAAAAGTGAGAACATTATCGTACTTATACGGATTTGTAAATACATATAGTATACTCGATATTACAGAATGTTAGAAATAAATGAATATGAGTAAAATCACCGATAACTCACAGTATCTATTCTATGTATAAGAAATTCTCCTTATAAATATCACCCTTATATCACGCAGAAAAAGAAATAAATATAGATTTCTTGTCGGGCAAATCCTTGTAAAATATATCAGTAATCTACAAATAATAAATAACCCAGCTAATTTTAGAAAACAATGAGGTTATAGGATAGGTAACATTTGGGCTCTGCGGTGGAACACTAAATTCACCTATTTTATTAATAAATACGGTAACATTTGGGCTCTGCGGTGGAACACTAAATTCACCTATTTTATTAATAAATACGGTAAAGGTGTGGATCCAGTGGCTGACCTTGAAGGCCAGATTTGCAGCATTTGATCATCGATACTACGCAAGCGCACATCGTCGATGTTGCCAAATTGCAGTTTATTTTCGAATTATTTGCAGTTGAATTTTTTTTTTGAGTGTTAATCAATAATAATACAAATTCTATAATTAATTTTATAATTTCAGATTTATCTTGATATCCAAAATTAAGGTAAGAAGGATAATGAAGATTGTAAATGAAAGTATTATGAATATATAAAACTGTACGTAATAATAACAGAGATATGGAAGTGGTTGAATAATAATAACATTTATTTATATATTTACATTAGAATTAAAAATTATCATTTACGGATTTTTTCTAATGGTTTTAAACTTATTAGAATTATTTTATTTCTTTCAAGTTATTTAATTTCTAGTTATTTACAGGCAACAATAGTTTTCATTATATTATGTATATTGATGTTTTGAAATATTACCATGACGAGTCTTATAGAACAATACACGTCAATGGGAGATAGAGGTAACATATTTTACCTATAATGTTACTAATATAATATACTTTGATTGTAATGTTTGTATCATATAATTTCTTAAAAATATCAAGTTAGTGGATTAATAGCAATTTTAGACATATATTTTATCGAAGAGTGTTGATAAGACTAAAATAAGCTTTATGTTTTATCTTTTTCTCTTTAGAAGGGAGATGGTTTGTATCGTAGAATACATTACAGTATTTAATATCGTGTACTTTGATATTCTTTTCTTAATTTACTGCAATTTCTTGTTTCCTATAATGCCAAATCTTGACAATATGGTGAAGGTTGAGTTTTGATCTTATTAGTTTTATACCTGTGTTTATACAAGACCAAATTAAGACTTAGTTTGTGATTTATATTAAGATCTTTCTTATAATATTTATTATGTCTTAATCTTATGCTTTGTCTGGAAAATAAATGTTAAAATATCTTAATTTTGCATATCCTATTCCATCCTTCCATTAGGAAAAATATGGTTTATAAATCATATTATAGCTAAGAAAATCACATAAATTAGGTGTAAGAATAGAGAAATCTTAAAGTAGCAGAAAACTTATTATGAACATGACATGGAGCTACAGCATTTAAAAATTAAAAAAAAGGAAGAACTTGGACATATAATTTCCCGAATTTTTAATAAAGCCCTTTTTAAACGTAGCATAATAATCTAGAGCAATTAGATTAATTATAGAAATCTAGAGTTTTATTTCTATTTAATTTTATTGACTATGAAAATACATAATAAGCGTTCACGTGTTGTGCGAAATATTAAAATAATATATAAATCCTTGATATAAATAATATACCGCGTACTATGATTGAAAAAAAAATAGCGTCAGCGGTGACTATGAAATGAAGATCGCTGTCATTTTATATGGGAAATGTCCTCAATCGTCATTTCCCAGCCAACTGGACGCCGTTTTTTCGATCATACGGTATATATTGACAAAAAACACTGAAAAGCACATATTTGTTTTCTACTGAAAATAATTCCAAAATAACTTACAATCTGGCAACATCGAAGATGTGCGCATGCGTAGTGTCTGTGGCTATATGCAGCAGAAACTCGTTTCAAGGTCAGCCACCGGATCCACACCATTACCATAAATGCATACCTAGGCTTCAATATTAGTGTATATAAGTTATTATAATTTGTTTCTGTACCAAATAAACAATATTTTGTTTAAAAAATATATTTAATATGGTAATAATTATCAAATAAACACATAATAAACATGAACGGCCTTCAAATATTTCAACCAGTGCCTTCTATTAAAAGATCAGCCTCCGGGCGAGATTCATGACGTCACGCTAGTTAGATATAATGGATTAATAAATATGTTGTAGAATACATGGAAAACATAATTATTCCTCTGATTTTTGGTTTGTATTTTAAAAATGATATAGTTTACATGAAATATACATAATATACAGTTAATAACTACAACATATATACCTATTCATAGTAATAAATACTTTGGCAAATAAACTATGAACCATACAAATGCAGCAAATGTTTTACAATGTACAAATAATGTATAGGTACATAAGATAATGGGTAAAATGTAAATATATTTTAAATTTTGGGGCTTGAAAATCGATCTAAATTAACAAAAAACATTGAATCTACTAATAGTGATGTATTATTATTTGCATTCACAAAATTTATATGTATATTTTGCAAGTATCAATGTTCGAAAAATTATATTTACAAATAATACAATATTATCTAAAAAAAGGCGTCAGCGATGGCTATGAAATGAAGATCGCTGGCATTTTATATGTTAAATTATTCTAAAATTTTTGATTTTCTTGGGATTTTAGGTTCGGGAAAAACGCTGATTAAGTTTTCATTTGGGTTTCATTATTTTTTATTTGGTTTAAAAAAACGTTTCGGCTAACTATAGCCTTCACAGTGTTGTGTCATATGAGGAAAATAGTGTCGAATATAATCCAAAAATTACATATACAATATAATCACACCTCATAATGTTTACTGCAATTAATAAACTAATATAAACTTATCAAAAGATGACCACATATTTTTTAAAATTATTATTCTTAACACTAAAATTATCTACATTGACTATGGAGTACGCAGTAAACATTATGTGCGTGGTGTGAATATTTTATATGCAATTTTTGGATTATATTCGACACTATTTTTTCATATGACACAACACTGATGGAGGCTATAATGTTAGCTCGAAACTGTTTTTTTTAAACCAAATAAAAAATAATGAAAAAACAAATGAAAAATCAATCAGCGTTTTTCCCTGAACCTAAATTCCAAGAAAATCAAAAAAAATTTAGAATATTTAGAATCAAGGTTCAAGAATATCAAATTTTCCAAGATTGTAAAATTCTAGTTAATTATTTTATGTGTACAGTTATTTAGGGAATGTCATCGATATTTATTTCCAAGCCAACTAGACGCCGATTTTTTTCGATGATACGGTATAATTCTTACGTAAAATGTAAATAACATTAGACCAATTAAAACAAAGAAATATGAATTTCTTAGTATTTTAAGTAACACCTTTATTCTTAAAACTTAATTTTGTATTATGCAAATATACCAATTTTATTGTTATTTTATTCATATTGTATTCAGCCATCACTTAAATATTTGATATTAATTTGGTATTATAAATAATCAATACTATTCATTAAAAATTACTGAACAAATATATGTTATGCTTAACATACATTATATATTATCAAACAAAAACACATTCTTCTTTTTAAACTGTATCAGTCTTGTCTTTACAAAATCTCTTTTTAAAAATTTGAACTCATAATAATAATCTTTTTTCATGATCTCTAATACACATATTCTTTATTTTTCCCTAGATCATAATACCTACTTACGTGTTTGAATCTATCGAAGCTGAACCAGCAACACTTGAGTGGAGATTCCACAATATGAGTAAAATAACATAATTGTCCAGTTTTCATTAATACCATCATGGGAGAATATTATTTTTAAATTTATTAAAGATATTTTCAATAAAATTCTCTTGATTTATAACTCGTACCCACTTTTCTTGCTCTTCCGGACACTTTAGGCTGCCTAGTATAATAACTATCCTTAGTAACTATCCTTTCCACCAGGAACACAACAAAGATGAGGCATAGCACCAAAAACACACTCCACTTAAGCTTTATTGATGAATTGTTAGAGTCTTAAAAAACACACACAAAAATCACGATAAGTAAAAAATGTATGGGCACTTTTAGGTTAAATCACTTACACAACGTGTAATTTTTAAAATTTCTATTTTTTTATGCGAAACCGAGAGTGACCATATATCTGGTAGTAGTTTATGTCACTTCAACACCAAAATAATTAGTTTTTTGCACTACAATAATAAATAATACCAAAAATCAAAGAGTTAAAACCAAAAATCAACCGACAAAATATTGAAACGGAATCTAACCCAATATCTAAGTATGTACAGCTGATGAAGTAAACAAAAGTCCGCCCGTAGGCTGATCTTTTAATAGAAGGCACTGTTTCAACTGTCGCCGATTCTGACACAGAAATTATGGTGCAATGTTGCCGGTTTTGTTTTTAATTTATACTACCTTTTTCCTAACGATTTTATTAAACCCTTAGTAATATTATTTTCTTGTTATCATTTAATTTATTTATAACTATAATATTGTTACGTTTTTCGTCGGTTCCGTGTGGATAGAAAGTCACAATTTATTTAAACACTATTTATTTAACACTAATTAACAAAAACAATAACGATAAAAGACTTATAGAACTATTTACAAACGATTTATAACTAAGAATTTATTTTGACGTTTTTAGCGCGTCAACTGTATATTTATAACTGCCCTCTCTAGGCCACTGCCGCCGGCTTTTATACCGACAGGTAAAAGAAATCTAGAATAGTCCAAAGATCGTTAGGCGCATAGAGAAGGTTTTCGAATGTTCTCGTATGTACTAGTCCATTCTAGTGGGTCTCGATTCTTCTCGAACGAATGAATCATTGCGGTGTCTATGCGATGTTAAGGTCATCCGAGGGCGGGCCATATTGTGAGGTTAGGTCGAGTCCACACCGGCTCGCAACACTGCCCCCTTTTTAGGCACATGCTCGTCCCGAGATGTATACGGTGAATGAAGGTATTTGCAAAGCTGGCCCCTGGTACATTGCGAAGTCTGGTAGAAATAGCAGTCTACAGTTTTCTCTCCCGATCTCAGCTTTGGGTTGTAGCAGCAAACGAGGATCTCGATTCCCGTAAATCTGAACAAGACTTCAATCATGTTCCGGATTGTACGCCAACTCAAACCATCGAGTCCACACGCCAGCTTCGGAATGGCTAATCGTGCAATGTTGTTGTTTAGCAGGGCTTCTCTCAGTTCAATCAGGGTCTTCCATAGATTGAGATAAGTCGGCTTACTCGGGGACCATTCCTTGGTGACCAGGTAGAAGATGTGCCTTGCTTGACCATGTGCATTGTCGGTTAGCCTCAAGACGCTTCCAACCTCTGGATCCTGTCGGCGT